TCATATACTGCATCTGTGGTAATTGTAGCACTGAAGATTGAAGGTTTGTAAAAGAGAAATATATAAAGGCTCGTCACGATGGATTATTTTTTGAGACAAGATTCCTTTTTTACTATATATAACTATATTATAGATGTTCATTATTATTATACGTAAATTTCGTTCTATGAGCATATTGCCAAGGATTATTTGTATTATTTTTTTTAAATAAACATTGTATGTAGCTACTCCGTTTATTAATAAAATAACTGTAGTTCTTTCAAGAAATTATTTTCTAAATATAAATTATAAAATTTGACGATATAATTTATAGAAATACTTTAAAAGGAATTTTAAAATAGCCAAATTTATTCATTTAAGTACAAATTACATCTGCATTATTAACAATAAAATATACATTAATATCAATTTTTAGATTACAATATTAGTTTAATATGTAAAATATAATTAAATATCATATATTATACGTATATAGATGTGAAATATCCAACGGATCTATTAAGAATTATATTTTTTATATTTTACAGATTTAATTACATGTATCAATACAAATATTTGTTTCATTTAAATGAAGACCTAATACATGATTATCATTGTATTATCATATAGTTATCATTGCAGTTATAATCGAAACTCGTAACGAATTTTCTGTAAGCGGAAACATGTTATGTGTGAGATAAAGTTTAATCGTGTTTTTACCTGATTTTTACCAAATTATACTCATTTGTACCATACTATCTTAATTCTCCAGTACAAATAAATAAAATATATTGGGATAGAATATAGAAATGATCGACTCTAGTGTATTTGAAATATTATATTGAGCCACTGATACGTATTAACGTGCAGTGATGGCAGTCAACGTTTATATGCGTCAAGTTTATGGTCCAACATCCTTATGGAAATTTGAACAACACAAATTTATCCTTTAAATCGATCGTTTAAAAATAAAATGCATTGAAAATATCGTTCCTTCATTTAAATTATCTTTATTACAAATCATATAACTTATTATTCTTTTATTAATATTAATCTTTCGTTTTTAAGTTTTTCTACACAAAACTATTGTCAACAATTTTTGGAACAAGAATAAATATTTTTTTTTTATAAAAATTTGAATTTATATATTATTTGATTTCTTTATATTAAATATTAGATTTAGACAAACATTTTTAAACATCAGAATCTTCGGAATAATTAATTAAAAATAGTAAGTAATCAATAGATACTTCTATTAATTAAAAGATATTACATATTTCCTATTCTGGTTTGCAAACCTTTTTCCGATGAAAATTACTAAAACATGGAATTGCTCGATTTTACTTATAAATAAATGAAATATATGATTTTGTTTTAATCTAATCGACTTTGCCATTATTATTTGTAGTAACTAACTTTTAATTAGTCATGATACACTTGTAATTATTGAAGACAATGAACCATATAAAACAAGATTTTAAAATAATTTAATTGCATCGAAGATCTTTGAAGCAATAATGCTTAAATACACAACTAAATACAATCGAAAAATGATTAATGCAATTCACATAGGCTCATAACATTTGCAAGGCTCACTCGAACTAATCGATATCGCAAGAAAGCTTACATACTAAATTTAAATTATTTTCCCAAGTTTAACAAGCAGATTACCGAGATTACCGAGCTTAAACTCTAAATAATCAACGTCGGCATCCCTCGGCCAGTCTCGACGGGGAAGCTCCGGTAAAGATTTGAACACTGCAAATGCACGCGCGCCCGCAGCTCTGAGGTCTTTAAACGTAAAATTAGAGGACGATGAACATACTCGTAAACATGGCGCCAATGTCTAATTCTTAATCACGATTGGATAATTGCGCGCAGCTGTTTTTATTTGGATGCAATTCAAGAGCTTGAAAATGAAGTTTAGGAATGCATTCTCTTCTTCGTCAACATTATTTTTTTTGTGATCTTGCTATGTTATTTAAATACCTTTGATATCTGAAATTGTTTGTATATTTATAGAAATTATCGCTTGAATAATTCTTTTAATAATTATTAAAATATCTTAGTTTATAAAAGTTTTAAATGTTTATATAAAAATGTATATTAATAAATGTTTGATATTATAACTTCATTTAAATTTGTATTTTAGACAGAAAATATGAAATCTATTTCAATATATAATGATCTATAGTATAGGATTGAAATTTGAAGTAAATAGTATACTACTCACTTCTACTAAAAATCTTGTTAATATGTATTTATAATACAAATTTTCATGAATCTATGTATCGAAAACAAATATTATGGCATCGAAGATAAGGCGTTATTATTCATTGTATAATAAATTATCATATTTAGCTGAAGTAAATTATTTTCCTTATATATAGAAGTCTTCCTATATTATAACAGAAAACTTAGATCTTGAAACATTATGCTGGAAAATTGCATTATTTGCATTAGTATCCATATTCATATATACCGTTCATGTCGTTTTTAGTATTCACAAATACATGTTAATAAAATTGTACAAAAATTTATTATATGTCAGCAATTGCAATATAATAATTTTTATTTACACAGTTTTATATAGTTCTATTGGTACATATAACATTTAGAAATTTAAAAATATGTTAAATAATAAAATTTTGAATAAAATCATACTAAATTTATTTATTTTTCATTTTTTATTTTTGTATTTCATCAACCAAAAAAAATAAAATAATTTATTATTTGAAATTTAAACAATAATAATTAGATAGAAATTTTATTATAAAATTTTGTTCATATTATTTAATATATAGTATCCATAAAAACAATTTTATTGTTTTTTTTTTTAAATAAATTTTAATCCAATGAAATAAGACTATTTTATTAGTATATTACGTTAAACACTATCTATTTTACGTTTTTATTTTTCATTATTGCTTAGTCAGATTATTCTTACATATTTATAGTATTATATTAAAGGTAATCTATTGAGTTATAATTATTATGTTGTCATTTTTTTTAGATTTTTCTATAAATACCGTTCGTTTATCGTTAGCGTTTAAACATTGATCAATATCCTAATGGAAATCATTTCATTTTTAATTATATTTGAGGAGTAATCTTTATTTTTTACGAATGTTATTTATAGGAATGACCTTCTAATACATAGTACTATTAAAAATATATTGTTAAATAAAATAAGAAAATATGTATTTTAATACACTAGTAAAAGATATTTGCATACTAAAGTTTAATATATAAATGAAATTGTTGTAGAGTAGTACGATTTATTAAATATATTTGTAATAAATATTTGTAAGAAAATATTTTTAAAGATTGAAAAATTTTTTCAAATTATTATTTATTTAACTGCTAATGCCGAAAAAAATATACAAGAAAAGTTTAAATATTTGCTAGAAAACATTGGGTTATAATGAAATATCATTATTAAATTAATTAATTTCTTCGTTTTAGTAATAATATCTATTTATTATTTCACATTATAGTGAAGTAATTATTTGAAATTCAGTACAATGAAAATAAATTATTTAATAAGTAGGATTAATAAGCAAAATAAATAAAGTCAGTATATTTTTTTCATTTAAATTTCAAGTATAATATAATAATAAATAATAAATCAAGTATAATCAATTTCAAGTAAATATACCGTCAGAAACGTTATTTTTGCATGTACCGGAATAGTAGATACTACAATTTATATAAATACATTACCTTTTTATGTAAGAAATCTATCTTAAATGTACAATGTAAATAATATATGTCGTTAATATTTTTTTTTACATAATTTTTTTTTCATTTAGGTATTATAATGTTTGGAAAAAACAATTAAAATCTGCTATTTTATGATAAATACATTTTTGTTTATACAGTCTTTTAAGCTTTTAAACATCGAAAGTTACTTATAAAAGGAATTTTAGATAATATATTCTCCATTTAAAGCAGATGTTTATGACTTCGATAGATATTTGCAGAATAGTATAAACAGGGCTTAAATAGTAACAATTTTTTCTTTGTTAACTATACTCGTTCATACAATGAATAAATTTGTTTTTATCTATTAAATATTATTCATTGAATTTATTATGCACAGAAGCTTTGCAAAGCCATAATTGATAAATAAAATCAATGTTATTGTTAAAATTTGACTTAAATATTAACTTAAGTGTTACAATTAACAAGAACAATATTAGTTAAATAAATATTTCATTGATAGTAAAGTAATAAATTCAACATTTCAATATGTAGAAATGTTTAATTAATTTGCTTGAAGCTTTAAATAATAACTTGAATTGTATTATTAGAATATTTACAACTATAAAGTATTTGTATATTTGTACTGGATTAAGTTTATTTGTATAGAATGTGCAGGTGACTTTTTTGAATAGTTAAAAGTATTTCATTACCATCGCTTAATTATTCATAAATGTACTGTTTATATATAAATATACGTATCATATTGAAATTCAGATGTATTATATAATCATAATTTTATATTACTTACTTTTAAATTAAAATTAAATATATTAAGGTAAAGCAAATTGCGCAATCATGCTTTATATTTGCATTATTGGGCTTTAAAATTTAAGTTTAACTTAACTTTATTTTAAATTATTATTTCCTTAAATTTCGGATGTTAAAATGATTGCAATTTTTCAATTTTTATAAATAATTGATTTATAATAATTGATAACTAGTTTACTGATTTATAAAAAATTAGAAATTTAAAATATCCAAATGAATTTTCAATTACGTAAACGATGAATTCTAACGAGGATCAGTTTGTTGCTTTGGGTGCCCAATTACTTTAATCTCAAGGTATTCGCTATATGATTAAAGTAGTTTTTTTTGCATGTCCAGTCATGGGGAAGTCTTTGCATAGTCGTCATAGGAAATGATCTTTTGCTACAATGTGTTACTCGCTGGGGGTCGGTTATATGAGAAAGAGAAAGGAAAGACATGTGCACCAGTATAAAACAGTTAAAATAATTTCCGCCCCGTCGTGTTCGCAGATACGGCGACATGGTGCCGGAGACAATAGCAGGGAAAATCGTCGGCGGCGTCTGTTCCCTCAGCGGTGTCTTGGTGATCGCCCTGCCCGTGCCCGTCATCGTCAGCAACTTCAGTCGAATTTATCACCAGAATCAGCGGGCTGACAAGAGGAAGGCGCAACGGGTGAGTACGACTTCAACGTGTTCGCGTACATCTCGTTTTGTTATTCCGTTTAATGTATGTGTGGATGATTTTTCCGCTATAATTTTACTATTCTTTTATTTTGAGATATGCAGTGATGAAAGAAATACTTACTTACACAATTTACTTTAACACGATAGAATAAAATTATTATAAGAAGTGTTTTACCTTAGAAGAATTCATACATGTAAATTTCATTAGAAAATTATTCGAAATTATAGGAATTTTATTTATAAAGTTAGTACCAATTAGGGAGAATAAAACAGTAAGCAAAAAAATAACTTTGAGATGATATTTAACGTTTATACACTGCACTATATAATACTATAGGAAAATCCATAATAATAATTGTTAAATTCTGTGCCAAAATATTTTGAATAATTATATTGAAATTTAATGAAATTCACCGCGTCAACGAAGTGGCGAAGAAAAATTAGTTTCACAAATTAAAGTTTAGATTTTGAAACATAACTTTATCGAATAATAGAATAAATAAAGAAATAAAAAATTAATAAATAAAGGATAATTATAGCGGTATATAAATTTTTAATAATTTATTTAACAGCATATTGATAACTAATGATATTAAATGTTTTATTAACTCTACGTATTAACTTTCTGATGACTATGATAGTACAGATTGTTTACGTATATTTTTAATAATAAACACTATAGCAATAGATTAATTTAACAATACTTGTTTCATTATAATATAACATAAAATTTAATATCAATTAGTGACACGAATCGCAATTTAATTAATTAAAGAGATTCATGAATTTTTCACAGTTATCAATTATAATTTCTCGATGATGTACCTTCATTTTATTCGGATGCTGAAAATTGAAAATATTGTTTTTTCTGTTGTTACTTCTCTTTTAATTTTCAAAATTATTACATAATTCAAACAAGAACATGTTTCAATTTATATAATGTTATTTATACATTTGAAAATTATCAGTGATAATATATATGTAATAAATACGTGACGAACAAAAATTTAATTGTAATTATACGAGTAAAATTTTTGTTAGGAATATCTTAATATCTTATAATAATATATCGTATAATATCTTAATATAAAGTTATTGATATATTTTATTTTTGAAAATATTGTATAATATTATTATTGTTACATAGCTTAGTAATGTTAGTATGTATTAAAAAATTATAGAAAATCGTTATTGTATGAAAATAAAACTTAAATTACTTTGACCCTATTTCAATTATTAGTTGTCGATTCTTATATCTTCATAAAACTTTATATATATTTATCTCAAACGCTCCTAAAAATTTGTTTCATAATTTCAAAATAATAAGTCAATGTTATAATATATATATATATATATATATATATATATATATATATATAAATTAATTTATATGACTGATCAGTTCTTTCATAATACAATATGTTAGTAATCAATTATTTAAAATATTTGGTAGGTTCTGATGAAAATTATTATTTAATATTAGAATATTTATGCAGCTCAAGAAAGTAAAAAATAATGGTACACATTATTTCGATACTCAATATTCCATATTAATGGTACTTTCCGTTCGTATTTCAAATCAATCTAGTACCTATAAATTCATTACTGATATTTGATGAGCTTGTTTGACGTATTATAAATAGCTGTCAATCAAATCGATTGGGCATTTAATTGTAATATTATTTGGCAACGAGTTTGATAAATATATAAGCTAATTAATCATTTTTGACTATTTACAGGCACCGATATAATTTTTTAAATTTTTAAATTATTTTCTTGCAATTTACTACGAACTTTTCACATAGTAATATAAACTCATTAACATAGTAATTAACATTTGTCGTATGAGATCCAATGTTTCGAGAAGGTGAAAGGATACAAGAAAGATATGGATTGATGGTAGATATGAAATCATTAATATATGATTTAAAAATAGAAACTTTATAATTATAAATGCATATATAATCTAAAGTGTTTATATATATATATATATATATATATATATATATACAGTTTTTCACTATAGATTACGACATAAGCTGTACTTGCATATTCGAAAATAAAGTATATTTACTATCGTATGAAAATTATATAGTCGTAAAATTGATCACAAGGCTCAAAAAATATATTTGTTTTTTAACAATTAATATACGCTATATACGTCCAGTGTTTGAAATGTGATTGACTTGTTATTAAATATGTATTTGACAATGTCATATTATAAAACATGAGATATTCGAAATTGTCGATAAAAAGTTTGAAATTTATGTATCTCGATTGCCAATATAAAGCTGTATTAGCAATACAAAATAAAAAATAGCCGAGACTTAGGGATACGCATTCGATTATCAATCAAACTAAAATCATGAAGCTCCTCATCTAATGGGAAAAGAGGAGCATAGGAAACTAGGCGTTTCATTTTCGCGAAGCATCCGGTCATACGCAGTTCTTAATTTGATTAATGAATCAACTATTTCATAATTATTTGCATCTCTCGTGTACATATTTCATCGATGAAGCGAGTAAGCAACTAAAATCTTGCTATGACTATTAACGTCAACAAGATTCTGATATTAAATCAAAAGTATCACGAGCAAAGTTAACGGGAAGGAGGGGCAGAGAGAGAGAGAGAGAGAGAGAGTGAATCGCGATCATGATTTGCAAGTTCCGTTGGCAGTCTATTGTCTCATTGACGTCGACAGAGTATGCGCCATTCCTCCATCTTCCAAGGCATGTCCGTTTTTAAATTTCCCTAGCAGCTCCTAACTTAGGACTTGCTCACTATTATATTTAATTAACTATAGCGGACGAACGTTAACGCTTTGTAAGAATTAAATGTCTTATCTTAACATTACCTGCTTTTATTGTAAATCGTGTATAATATTAAGATTAACATTATAATTTTTTATTGTAACGTGTATTATTAATGTTGTTGTCCCCTTAAATAGTTAGTAAAAGTAATAATTTTAGGACTTTTGTAGTTAATAATGAGCATATGATTAAAAGAAACATATTACACACTTCGATAAACAATTTTCAAACTGATTGTATTGTATTTTGTAAAAAGATTTCTGATTTAAATTTTGATGTAACCATATTATATTACTATATGTATTTGATGTGCTTTGATATTGTTGATGAAAATTATGAAAATATCGATAATAAGATACTGCTATATTACATTGTATTGCCTTTACATGTTTATATTGAAATTTAAAGATAATTTAAAGTTATAATATATGTGACAAGTAAATAATGATATTTTATATTGTCTTTTCAATTATTGAAAACTTATTTAACTTTTAAAATTAAGATTTAAAGCTGAATTATAATTTATTTGCATTGCGTGTAATTCATTGTTTGTATCATACAATTGAACACTTTGAAGCTTTGAACAGCAAATCAATATGCCAAACAGGCTTTGCAATCTCGTTGTCAGATGCCATGCTGTTAGTTTCTTAGTCCTTTATGTTGAGTTCGCCCAGTCAAGTGTTTGTCGATTTCATTCGGCTTATTATTTTGCACAGATAGTGGAATGAAGAGTGTGACCTGTGCATTATTTATTTCTGTCCCATTTTCGGTTAGACGAACGTCACCTTTCCTTATTGACTTTATATTTGTGAAAGCACGATGGGATTATCAAGGCCCTGTTTATTTGTAATAGTGCTTTATTATTAACTAGAAGCATGATTCATATTATAATCTTATATATTATAATATTATCTATATAATATATTATCTTACATATTATAATCTCACAATTCTGAGAATAAACAATTACAAGCATTGTTTAATAATCATAATTTATTATTACATTCAACGTTCTATATTATCATTTAGAATTTTCTTTTAGATGCTACACTTACTATATTATAAAAACTTTTTCATTCGTTATGGAATCCTATTTGAAATGACCGTGATTTATGTTTATTTACTGTATTAGTTATATTATTTAAATTCTTCGAATTTATTTTAATACTTTAGGAATTTAAGTTTTACTTCAATTTTACATTTAGGTTCTGCAAGTTTGTTTGTTTTTTTGTGGAAATTCGATAGATATTTATTGCTAACCAATAATGCTTTATTTATAGAATTAGGCACATTACATAAAGAAAAAAATAAAACAATTTCATTAAAAATAAATTAGAAATATACGCAATTAAGAATTAAACAGAAAGTAGATATAAGTTATTTATCGATATTAGTTAGTGTAGGTATTAGTAGATGTTAATTTTTGAATTTCTGAAATTCAATAGGGTGTACGGTATTCGATAAGAGTATGAGTGTTTGAGATCAACGAGTACGAGTATGAGATCAACGAGCTACGATAACTTTTTACTTTTATTCTTATTTCTAACCTTTGTTTGAGGATTCTCGAACATTTCTTCTTCGGAATTTTTGTTATGGCAATTGGTAAAAAATTTGTTCACTCTATAATTGCTCAAGTTTTTAAAAATTATTCTGCAATATTTTGTTTAATATTCAACTTATTTTACTTCCTATACCATCTTAACTTGATTATCATTCCCTGTGATACAATAAAGAATATAAATATGTACGAAAAAAATATTTAATGATTGAGATAATAAAAACTGCAGTTTTTTTTATCGTTTATCTAATTACCGTTTTGCACAGATGTCTTTATATATTCTATTTGTATTTCCTTTATTTTTATTATGAAAATCAATTGCACTATCCGTATGTGTTATAATTGAAATATAATTCAACGAATAATTTATTTTTATTATTACAAACGAAGAAAAGCAAAGAAAAATACACGCTTCTTTTTATTACTATATTATGTTTATTAGGAAATACGTACTTGATAATGCCTAACGCGAGTTTTATTTTGAACTTGAATTGTATCAAATAAGCAAGAAGTTTTGTATTTGAAAAAAGTTATTGACATAAGACTTCTTTAATAGTTAGTATTTAGACACTGCTTTCTATTATATTAATTTTATAATTCATTTTTTAATTATAACAAAC